TTAATCTGATTTTTGAATAAACAAAATGGTTTGAAATATTAATATTTCAAACATGAGCATGAGGTTTTATAATTTTATTGTTATATTCTGTATGAGCCACATGTCTGAACTACATTATACATGACAACACAATATTTTATAATGTTATTGTTATATTCTGTATGAGCCACATGTCTGAACTACATTATACTAGACAACACAATATTTTATACATCAGTGGCTACACCTGCTGAGTTCATACAGTAGTCACAATATAAATTATTTATGTTTTGTTTTTCCTATATATATTCTTATGAAACAAATCAGTTAGTTCACCAATCTGCCAAAAGAAGCTTATGGATATTGCTTCTACAAATAAATGTTTGTTGTATTGTATCTACCACATTATTTTTATACTTACAGAAATCGAAACAACACCACCATTTGCTGGTTTCATTGATTCAAAGACAATCATTCATGTTGGGTGTGGTAACTGGTAAGCATGTTAATTGTCATCTTTTCCTAACCTAACCATCACATTATGTTGTTGGCATTCGGTCTACATATGATTTTTTGTATGATATTTCATCTCATGTTTTGTTTTGATAATTATCAAGTTTATATAGTTATAGAGGGGTTTATAGATGTAGGTTTGAGGTTACTATGCAGTGAATAAAAAATGAATTAATAAATGTAGAAGCATTGTACAATTATGGTGTATGTTGCGAATAAAATATCTTTTTTTGCTACTTTTAAGCAACGATGTTTAGACATAGATGGTCAGGATTGGCATGCAGAAATAATTAGTTATCTAAAAAATAAATTTATGAATTCAGCTTTTGTAAGATTGTTTTTTAGCACATGCACTGTGCATTGAGAGCGATAGACAAATGAAAATACCATGAGAACAAAGGATCTGTGTGTGCGACTCTACTCTATGGAGGATGAGAATGATACTATTCTGCATCGGTTAACATTAATATGTATAACATTACCCAATACTTTTTAGCACATAGGGTCAGTGGCCTACAGTGCATATAAAATAAACTATACTTCACACCACATCATAATGTTTTCCTTTCATTGTAGTACATGTATGGAAGGTATGCTGAATTGCACAGACATTACATGCGGTAAGTATAGCTCCAATGATATATCATTCAATACATCTGTGTATCATACCAGATTTGTCCATATTTTGCTATAGACATGTTCTGATATACATTCCTTTATTCGGTTACAGCTACTTCCCCACCACCAGCCGTTACTGGTAAGTTCTCCAGTTTTTAAAAACATTAACATTCCAACATTGCAAGTAGACATGAAATAAATATTATTAACTTAAGGTAGAAGGTTGAAGTTTATTGCACAGTATTACTACTCCCCACCTACAGAGATAAAGTTTATTTCATTATTTCAGAATCAAACCCCATATATACAATTAAACCTTGGTAAATTTATATTTTATAGTTTTCAAGTACGACAACTTATGCTTGGAGAGAACACTTAATTATGCAAATGTTATGTATTATGATTTTATATTTGTTTTTCTTTACTTGTTACTGCGACCATTCCAATCTAATTTATTATGTATTTATTTGTATCTGTACATAAGGCCAATGGCCACAGTACGAAATAAAAAGATATTATTACAACTTAAGGTAGAAGCCAACTCATAAATTAAAATGCCCAGATTTTATTCATTTTGCAATAAACACAATATAAGAATATTGACCTAAAAAAAGTTGGGGGTCACCAGCCTTTTTTTTTGTTGAGAAATTGATGGTCGTATTTTTAGTGAAAAGTCGCCATTTTGACACTATTATTACACTTTTACCACAGGTTCCTATGGCAGAGATATTATGCAATATCTCAAAATCTAGCCTGGTGACATTGGCTGAAAAAATCATATATTGTTAATGATGGAGTACTTTTTGTTGTTCTTAATTATTTAAAAAGTCTGGGTTTTAAAAAGTGTCAAAAATGCAATTTTTCTGTTCTATGGAATTGTTCTAAAACTAGCAATTTTCAAGCTATATTAGGACACGTTTTTCAAAAAGCTTAACTGTAACACATAAAATATGGGATATTAGCTTCATGATTGTACATAATAAACTAATGAACATTGTCATGCGATTTATGACAAATTTTGTCAAAAATTATGACTAGGCTTCTATCTTAAAACCTTATATCTTAAAAAAATTATATGAAACAATAGTTGAACATTGTAAGTTGTATTTTTAATTTAATTCTCCATCTGTCATATTTGAACTCTGAATATATGTACTCTTATCTCATAAATTAAATGCCATGAATTGTGAATACATAAACTACAATGACAATGATTGTAATTTTCAGAGAAGTGCACTGATGGAAAGATATTTGTTGAAGATTGTGATGACATACCAGCATGCCCAGCTACTTGCGAAGATCTGTACGCAGAAACATGTAAACAATCTGGAGTATGTGAACCAGGTTGTCGATGTCCAAAAGGCCAATTGGAACAAGACGGGGAATGTGTTGAGAAGGCTGACTGCAAATGTCCGTTTGATATGGCTGAATTTGAAACATCGGATGTCACATTTGTGAAACTTGGAGGTACGTTTTGTTACCGTTGCATGTTTATAAATGTAAAGTAACTAACTTTATTAAAGATAAGACCTACTTTTGCAAATCTGACATATTGTCAATATTCATATTATATTTAGTGGTGACGCCAACTCCAACAGCTCCTGCAGCAGGATTAGGAGAACCAGGTAGAACAGAAGGACCAGGAGAACCAGGTGGACCAGGTAAGCATTCTGCAATTTGTGTATAACTTTATTATAGATTAGTATTATAATTAGTATAGATTGCCAGGGAAGCTGGGGGTTCTTTTCTTGGTACCAGTTCAGATTTATATTATTTAACATGAACTATTTGTCCCACTGATGATTTTAAATATTTGATTGTTAATAGCCTAATTCTCATAGAATCCATTCTTGATTTGACAGCTCTTGATTTCTTTGTAATCTACATGTCTATTTTTTTTAAAGTAATGACAACCACTACCACACCAATATTGGTGATACCAGGTGAACCAGGTGAGCCAGGTGAGCCAGGTGGACCTGGCGGACCATTGGGACCTTGGGGACCAGGTGGACCATTTGGACCTGGAGGACCAGGTTAGTGATGCATTATATTTGTAATATTGACTTACACAATTGTTTTAAACAATTTGTGCATATCTAATAAAACTCTTTTCATCTAATCGCACAGTGCATGTTTGAATTTCATGTAAACGAACAATGTATTATACATAAATTGTATATGTCGCTATGTGTGCCGTATCTAACACGACGTGTTACGATGACCACCATTCTTTAAAATAGATCGAATAATTTTTGGGGAGAGGGCAGTGAGTTTGGCCCAATGTGTATTTTAATATAATATCTACTTGTCAACTATGCAATTTGCTTTTTACTTAAAACATATTTTCATTGTAAATACTTATTCATTTTCCTCTTACATATTCATTTTCCTTCTCTTAGTGAGACTTAGAGTTATTCAGACATTAATTAGACATTACACTTAGTCTAGTAAAAAGTCAAAATCTTATGCACATCATATATACATCACTTATTTGCTTTACATCCTG